AAAACTTAAATGGGTTTTAGGAATGCTGACCAAACCCGTGTTCCCATTATCTCGGTAACGTCCCAATTTAATGAATAGCACCCCATACGCTTAGAATAGAATCTCATTACTCCCCATCCGTACTGGGTGCGGGCCGGATATCCGGATCAATCGACTGGATTACACGTATCTTGGGACTTGCATGCGGTTGCGGGATTTCCTTCCGGTTGGATATTTGTGGAGTGTGGCTTTAGTCCTACCTAATGCTTTGGAAGGTTGCGAATATTTTTTTGGGAAAGAGATTCGAAGTTTTGTTTATTTAATAAGGACCAATACAACCGAAAGAGGATTGTCTAATCCTTTTACGTTCTACTTTCTGTTTTTACTAAAGTGTTAGCTACCATTGTATAACAAAGCGTGCTCGTATTTGTCTCAACTACTGCATTAAACATTAGTCTCGTTTTCCCATTTATACAATCCACCTTTGATATTTTCTGCGAAGGTCTCATATGATCGTAGCCTGTTGAATATCACATTGCAAAATAAAACGTTCACGGATAGAAAATGTCGAGAGAAATCGGAAAATATTACCTTCATGTGACCCATATCTGAAGGCTTTGTATGAGGTGAACGTAGAACGAGTCATATGAGAAACGATCGGAGGCTTTCGTTCTGAAAGAGGTTCTTGAAATGAGCTAAACGTTGTATAGTGCAGCGTCGTAGTTTCAGTATGAATCTCTAAGATGTCATTATTGATAGCTGATTTTTATTTGATTTTATTTGTTGATGTCGGTCCAACCAGCCGATCTGGTAATTGGTGTGGCTTTTTTTATTTTGTTTTCTTTTTTTTATTGCATAAGCCGGTAAACGAGCAGACGGATCACCGGATGGTAAGCAATCGGCGTCGCTTATGGACACTTGGAACACCAGAGGCGTTACAAGTGCGTTACCGGCCTTTTGGGTTTAGGAGTTTGAGGATCGTTGGGGATTCAGGAATTGGGGAGATTGGAGAAGGGGACGGTAATTGGGCCTCCGGTAACCTCACTCACACGACGAAACACAACGCAAGCGTTGATTCACGTCGGTTTTCTGTGAGGCCGTGGTATCACTCCGGTCGAGCGGGCTCATGCGTGCCGAAGCATGGCTCTCCCACACTTAGATAAATACGCCACGTTATACGCCACGGCGGTCACTGGTAACCAACGTTAGAGGAGGTTTGGCCTTCAACAGTTTTCTATTGGCAGTCAAAGGCTTAATGAATGAAATGTGGAACTCAACTGCTTAAGTGGGGTTACCCAACAATAAGTATTGTTTTGTTTCATAACTTACTAAGTTAGTTACAAAGTTTCTAAGTTGTGTTCAATGTGTTGTGTAAAGCCTTCTGAACTTAATCTCAAACAGATCCATGAAAATCACTTCGCGAAAATATACAAATACCGGATTGTATTAATGTAATTTGAGGTTACTACTGCCATTAAAATAAATGTCTATTTAAGAGCTGACTGTCATGCACTTCTCTTATTCGGTTGGAACAACCAATTCTTCATCTTCACCTATCTTGTGTCCATCTTCACCTTCATGTGTCCTGTTTCTTACCCTTGTCTCTTGTCTGTGTGCACTTATTAAATATTGTCTTTCCACTTTCCATGCTAATCTCTGGATTATAGAAAAACAAGACTGTAAGTATAAGCCACTTATGTCGCATCGTCAGAATCATCTAATTCAAAGTTCTTTTTGTCCATTGTAGAAATGTTGTTTTTTTTTATTATCGAATTCCATATTCTCATCTTTATTGTTTTGTAGTTAGAATTGTAATTTGTGTAATTCTTCTAATGTTATCATAAAAAATGGCGGTGTAGGAAATATGTCATAATTAATACTGAGGGTTGCATTTTCGCTTTTATTATTTCTGTGTCTGTTAACAAACTGATGTCCTTTTCCGACTTTATACTGAAAATCCGTTTTCCAAAACCTTCACAGAGCGAACACAATCAACTAGCACAATGCACCATTAAAGCCTGATAGGATAAAGTCTCATTAATCGGTATCAATACAGAACTGAACGTTCACAAAACGATGAAAGCCTCGAAACATGAACAAAGCCAGACTGAATTGTTTCGGAGTATTAATCAATAGGGATTTATATACTGTGAATGTTGTTCGTGCCTGAAGCGGTTCCTGGCTGTTTCCAACACGTGTCACTAAATCCACATCCATAGATATTGTTATTTCATAAACCTTTTCTATTTGTGTACCATTTTTATTTTCACATCTGCACGGAAGTTTTGACGTTCGAATTTGTCGAAATATTTTTCAACGTTGAATTTTTATTTCTACGTGTTCTCTGTTCACAGGCTTGGGTTTTTAATTTGTGAAGCGAAATTGAACTAAAAGTTTGTCTCGTTAGTCTGGTGGTCTCAATATAGATGATGTTATTGCGTTTTTATATTTCAATATCATTTGCATTTGGACATCTATTAGGTGTATGTTTAAGTACAAATCTGCCCAAAAGAGAAACAGACATACATAGTGTAACTTGGAATGAATTAACGAAAAGTTAGTAACTGCATAGTTAAATAACACCATAATGTTGACAGTAGTTGTAATTAACTACTCTAGTGTTACATATTTCATTGAAACAGTGTTTCACAACGACAATAGATTGTTCCGTAACTCTTTGATACATCCCATCAGGCATAGATTGCATCTTTCAGCATTAATCAACTCAGATTGGTATTCCGTGAATAGGTTCATCATTCACTCTATTCATTCATTCGTTCGTTCGTTCGTTTGTTCATATTTATCTTTCTGAATAAGGTTATGAGATAAAAAGATTGAATGTAATTTTGTTCAATGGATATCTATTTTTTACTGTGGATAGCTAGATTTTCCTTTTATATTTTTGCACGGTATTTTTTTTTGTCTAATTTACCTATCAGTTCGTGTTTTGTTTAGTTATTGCACAGTCTCAATTATAATTAGTATGTAGAATCGAGCAACGTTTCAGTTTTCCAAATAAGCAACGTTATTCGGTTTTTAGAGTCGAAAAAAGCACTTTAAATTATTTAATTCCGAGTGGTACGAAAACAGATTAAATAAAATCCCTGAAACAAACAAAACGAGAACACGATCACTCTTTCATAAATGTAATTATATTCCGTCGAAATGAAAATTAATTGCAGAAGTAATTACCATCCATAATAAATTGGCAATGTTTGGTGTCCTCGGAAAAATTCAACATTAATGTTTGTGTTCCTGAGTGGTTTTGTTAAAACCTTGTTTTTTCTATACCAGTGCTTTTTTCTTTATAAAGGCGACATTTTTACGAGGCGTGACGAAGTAAGCAAATGTATTTTCCCTTTATGATGCGTACCCAAATTCAACTGGACAATCTTGGCGCTTCACATAAATTTTCCAACGATTTTTTCTGTTTTATAATAAGCTTAATGAATATTCTATGCTTTTAACCTCTTCTCGGAACTAAGGCTCTATTTAATGACCCTTTCGATTTCTTTGATGTTTATGTTTAATCAAATTGGTGCCAATCTTCATGAAACCTTGTTTACTAATCTTTTTCTTGAAAAGATAATATTAATAATTTGTAATAGGTTTATTTGACTCCACTAGTTTTATAGTAGTTTTCTAATACGAAGCGAATCTTTGAAGAACCGTTTTTATCCCGGATTAGAAATATCAGACAAGAAAGGGTTTAGTTTTGGTCGACTAGTTATTTTATGAGGCGTTACGGAAGTAGTAGTAGTAGAGGCATAGATTCTGTACCTACTTGATAAATAAAAAAATACTCTTCAGTACAAATAAATCATAGTAAAATTATTCTAAGACTTTTCCAGTGTTACGTTAGCATACAAGTCTAATTTCGTATCGTTCATACAATTTCCTTTCATTACTTAATTGTTCAACGTTACCGTAACAATAATAAATTGTGTTCAAAGTTGACCCAGTTCTCTCACAAACGAACACTCCCCCTCCCCCGTCCCCCCTCCGTCCCCGACCCCCTCCCGCCTCTGTCGAGCTGTTAATGTGGAATTTAATTTGTTTTATAGCTTTTGTTGGACAACTTTACCCCTGTAAATAGTATTTTAAACTTTGTCTTCGATTTATCATACATTGTGCACACATTCGTTCATTTATTTTGAGGAACAGAATTCGCACTTGTTTAACTCGTCGAGTACCGGTTTTATAGACACAATTAAAGAACAATAGGTCGCGGTCACTGGTGACCGCTTGGTGTTTGACAGTTTAAATATATTTTTTGTATTATTTTATTATTGGAATCATTAATTAAATGTAGATGCCGTAATGGGAACGTTAATATGTTAGGTTTTGACACTGTGTCAATCTGTTGTTGTTATTGCATTTAACATTTGTATCTGTGTTGTAGCAGAAAATGATACCTTTACATAAGAAAGTCGTATTTTTTCATCAATACAAAGTTTATTGATTTGTTGATTTATGATTTAATTGCTTTCTATAAAACCATATCGTTCTAAGATTGAGACAGTTCCCCATAATTACTTGCGCCCCATTCTAACATCAATAAACACATAAATGTTCGTATTTCGTGATATATCAATTAACGTCACTCATTGAAGGCCTTGTTTAATATTAATAGCATATTAATTTCCCTCCTTGTTTACTAAGCAAGCGTGAACATTGTTTGACGTATAACATTTTGTTTAACATTCCCGATAATCTGCGAACAAATCGATTATTTTGGCTCGCTGAACCGACAAATTGTGTTCTTTTGATAAAATCGATATTTCCAATGAACCATTTTATTATATGCGGATGTGAATAATAAACAAGATAATGTCTGCTGTGTATTATAAAAAAAACTCTATAATAATCATAATCATAACTTAAAACTAAATACAAATTAAAGCTAAAAAATAAAATATGTACAAGTACAAAAATATCACGACGCTATCCATTTACTGAAGGATAATAAATAAACACTGAAGACGACACATTTCACAAATACTAATCACTACCATCTTGAACTAAGACAAATGATCTGATAGTGTCTTGCCTCTAGTCTCAGGCAAGAAGTAGCAAGTAATTGCCCCTACAATAGGAACGATGGCGAAGGCAACTGGTGGTAACCATGCAGCGATGATGGTCATGCCAGCCACGTACGGGGCTAACATGGAACCAACTCGGGAGACTGTTGACGAGGCTCCCATAGCCATGTTGCGGGCTACCGTAGGGAACATTTCTGTTGTGTACATGTACCTGGAAATAAGTAGAAAATGTCTTAAAGATGTATTGGATACCAATCTAAGAAGCCCTCAAACTATAGATTATATCTGATTGTGAAGAAGGAGACGTGATCATCATCAATAAAATTAGTCCAAGAATTCAATTAACATATGAATGATGAACTCAATACTTACATAGTAGCGAAGGCTCCCGAAGCACACCCGACACCGATGGCTCCCATAGTCAGTCTGACGGCGAACCAGTCTTCAGGGACCACTAGGAAAGCATTGCTTCCTCCACACACGATCAAGAAACTGATCATTGTTATCTTCCTTCCAAAGTATCGGCAGAAGAAACCGCTCAGCAAGATACCAGGGATCTGGAAAATCCAATAAATGACTAAGCATGGAAAATAATTATAGTGCATAAAAGTATGACCTCGCCAGTGCAATTATTGTAGAACCTTCTATTTTCGTGGTAACCCAATTTGATAACGATGAAATCATAATTGCAAAAAGCTGTTAGCCGCAATATTATTTTAATGGAAATGTGAATGTTAAAGGGTATTCAGATAAACTAAATTCATATCTAAAAATAATATTTATGGTTTATATTTTTAATCTCAAGCACGTGTAAAATACAAGGAAAATTGAAGAGAAATCCAAATGAAAACGTTTAACGAGTCTGACTTGACAGTTTGTTGACAAACTGTCTATGTTTATACTTATCTTTGTAATCCTATATAATAATTTAATTTAGTTTTACTACACGCAACCACGTGGTGCAAAATGTAACTCGATAATAAATTACCTGCAATACTCCAGCCAAGAGAACAGAAATGAATACGTTGGAACTGGTCTGTCCAATGTACTGGTTGCTACCATAGTAACTGATACCAAGCACGAACCAGATCATACAGGAACCGAAGATGTTGATCCTGAGTACTTTCGTCTTCAGCAAATCTAAGTAGGTAGCTTTCCTAAGGGGCTCGGTTGAGTTAACCTTCTCACTGGCTATACTTTTGGCGATGTCTAACATGTTATCCGTTGGAAGATTGTTCCTGAAATTAGACAAAACAGACTTGTAAAAATGTGTATTTGAATAAATATGTCAATATTTAAACATGTCCATAACAGAAATGCTTACCATTTAGCAGCTTGCGTCATAACTTTACTGGCTTCCTCAAGCCTGCCCACCGAAATTAGCCACTTAGGAGATTCTGGTAATATGAAGAAATACGCCAAGTACAATACATGGGGAATTCCAACGCCCAAACAGAAGTTATTCCATGATCTGAGGAAGTAGGCGAAGAGTGGCATCAGCATTTGTCCGACAGGCATTGGCAGAGCACAGAGGCAGTTCATGAGTTCTCTCTTCATTGGCCCGATGATTTCCATCATCAAGATGAAAGAGCAGAGCATTGTGCCTGCAGTGGCTAATCCTATGAAGAACCGGACTGCAGTGAAAAGCCAATAAACTTTACAGAATGCCTCCCCGACTGATGTCACTAGTAGAAGCATGCAGGAGATTAACAGCGCTGGACGTCTTCCATATCTGTAGTAAATAACTTTAATAAATACACTAAATGGCAAAAATATCACATTGCTTTGTTATGCTAGGGTATCGGTATAGATAATTATCGTAAACAATATTTTAATGTTAAAATTATCTAAGGACTTACCGATCAGCTATAAAACCAAAGATGATGCTGCCCATGAGGACACCGAACATGCAAATTGTCTGCGTGAAGTTTGACAACCAAGCTTTCTCGCAGATAAGCTCGAATTGGGAAATAATAGTGTTCTCAAAGTCCGTGTAATAGTTGTAACTGACACAATCACTATAGCACGTGTTCATTTCTATGATATTCGTTAGATTCGTTTCTTCACACATGAACGATGTAGCGGGTGCTATGAACACTATCCCTAGTTGCTGCCATGCCGATGAGATCTTTATTGGCGAAGCTATCAGCAGCCACAACATCAGCTGCCATTTCCCAAATTGTCCTATCGCCTTCACCAATTTGTCTGTCTCTTCTTGTTTCTCTTCAGGCATCTTCTCCATTTTAAGATCCTTTGTGTCGTATTTTGTATTTAATTCTGCGTCCATATTTGTTTCTTTATTAATACCTTGCAATTAATTCTTTGTTACCTCGCAGTAGTCATAATCTGGACGAGTTATGCGTACTACTGTGGTTATTCCAGTAGTATTAACTGTTATCTTGAGTGTGCTGCAGATTGACTGTAACAATTGTTTGCAAATGGATTCTTTTTGTAGTGACAGTCTCAGTTTTATCATGGAAGATTATATTTTGTAAAGATTGATGGTCCGTTTTCGGTTGGCACAAATCTGCAACAAACATAATTAGCAATGTTAATATTTCATTTTACGTAATTGTGGTAGGTATGATTTCAATGGGGGTGGTGAAGGTAAATTATGGTGCATGATTTATGGAGTAATTAAAATTTGATTTATTATGTTAAATTACTTTACATTGTTATGCAACAGTATGGGTATATGTTTGCTGGTCTTTGCGTGGAATCATGGTCTTCTTACAAAATATTATTATTCGAATATATTACACTGGTTAGTGTGTTAGGTCTTTAACTAAGATGCAGTAATTATCATAATTTACGATCCAGACTAATTATAATTATTATGTATCAGAATGAACTTTATAGAACTCGGTAAACAACAATATTGTATGACCCAGTTAAATCATCTTTAAATTTATTTTCAAACAGTTCAGTATAAAATTAATTTCACCTAGAGTTAGTAAATAAGAATTTATTGGTACTGGAGATATAATTGAACTAGTCAAGTAATAAATACTGGCTGAACCCAAGTTTGATAGTTGCTATTAAAAAGTTACAGGCGCTGGAATTTTGCCAACTGAAACTTATTTTTCAGTCGCTCTAATATAATGGTGAAATAACTTGGCATCCTTTTAGATTTATTTTAAGTTTTTAATTAACTTATCTGATTTATTTCTATCCAGAACGTATTTTTGAAATGGTATAATAAAGTTTATAGAAATTGAAAATTTATTTTGGATTCGTATAAGATAAATGGAATATTAAAAAATAAATGTCGTACGTGTTTATCATAGAAGATTTATTATGAGTACCTTTATCTTTCTGAGGTAAACAGATAAATGATTGTCTCTTGAAGTTATGTCAGAAAATAGATAAAACGCAAATTATGTTCTTCCCTTTATCGCACATTGTGGTAAGATGGCCACCCCGCTGTCAGATTACTGAGATACCAAGATTTAGTGGATTATTTATAAAGTGCTTTGCTATTGAACATTTTGAAGGTTAACAATTTAAATAAACAAGCTGTTATCTTTTACGGTGTAGGTAGATAAAAGACTTTCACGTGCTACAGTATTTAATAGATGAAAACATTGCCACGGTATCGATTTTTCATTTTCTCCTATAAAATGTGACATTGATGGTATTGTTGTGCGTTTTTTTTGTAATAAAGTTAATTATTAAATACCAATAAAAACGACCAGGAACAACATTGGTCTTTCGATTTTTATTATTATATTGCGCGAATAAATAATAATCACGTTTTACTTCCGTCATTTTATTCAATGGCTTTTTTTTGCCGTAGACAATAACTTTAGTCTAACGATTGAATAAGTATATCAGTGCCTAAATTGTTAACAGTAGGCGTCTATGAACATTTCTTCCTTTATCAAAAGTTCGCATAATCCGACCAATTGTTCATATCAATACAAGATTATAATTATTATAAGTATTACGTTCATATCTTTTATTGCCTAAATAAATCACACTAATATAAAATAATCAGTTTATTGATCTATTTGTGTGTAATCAGTCTGTCTTTTATTGTTCAGTAATTATACTTTTTTTAAAGCTTCATTAGGTTTTCTCCTATTTCGTAGGTGCCTTTACAAATAGATTTTCATAAACACAGAGAATTTGTGCATTACAAAGTCGTTCCCATGTTTAAAGCACATTATACTTTTGGCCAAACCGCATTGTACAAGCGTGGATTAATACTTAAACTTTCTCAGTGTGAGAAAAGGCTTCACAAAGCAATGGGCACTTATAGGGATATTGTAATTTTGATAATTTTTATTAACGTTTCATTTCCTTTGTCCTACAGAGCATCTTGGGCGAGTTCAACCGCGAGCAGGATGCATTCATCAAGGGGCAGGAGGGTCGTGGCAGTGCCGCCGCCGTGCCTCCCTGGGTGGGAGCTCCCAACGAGGCCGCTCTCAAGGAGGAGTGCCTATCTTTGTCTACTGTGAGTATTTACTTACTAATTGCTATTACATCTATATTTACTATGTCCCAAATGTTATTAAGGTTACATCTATAAATACATTTATGGGTTTCTGAAGTTATCTTGGAATTGTATTTTAGTAATTTCCATTTGAATGTTACATTCCAAAGCCAGTGTTCAGATCTCTCATCTTTATTTTTTTGTACTCTTAAGGGGTTAACATTCACTTTGAATACTTTAAGTTGTATTTGTATTTAATACTCCCAGGATTTATAAATCCAGCACCTTTAATTCTCTGGATAAACATTTTTAAACAATAATTCTGATCATTATTTCTGTTTTTTTTTTCAACCAAATACACAACTTTCCCAGTATCTGCACGTGGCTCTCGAGTTAGGAATATGATGTTATATGTTTATCCTCATCAAAACTTTGTGTACAAACTTTTGACACGATACTGTATGCTCTCGACACGTGGTCTTATGTTTGTGGCACACTTTCTGTCTGTTTTATATTAAGGTTTACATTTTATGGTTTGTTCAGAATGTGACTCCATTTGTTGACAGTTTCGGTTAACATTGTAACTCTCTGAATGACAGTTGGCGTATAACCAACGAAGTTTATCTTCAGCGGTTTGTATTCTCAAACTTCTTTGGAAAAAAAACGCAAGAGACAAAGCTGCAATAAAGTTAAATGATATTACATATAATAAATTGTGTTTTTAATGCACTAATGTCCAGAACAACTGAGTCCATTTATCGAGGAAAGCCATAGGCCATAAAACTATTTCTTATAGATATCGGGTAGCGGGGGAACCATGCGGGAATAGTGTAATATTGTTCTATATAGTTCTAGTGTAATATATGTTATAGAACTATGAATTTTAAATGAAACTTCTTCCACTTCCAGGACCGACGGAACTTTGTGCGCGCTCCTCCCGCTGGTGTCGAGTTCGATTTCGATTATGACAAGATGTACCCAGTGGCTGTGGCCATCATGGGCGAGGATCCCAACCTCGAGAAGATGCGCTTCGATCTCGTGCCAAAAGTGTAAGTCACTATTCAAACTATACTATACGGATAGGACGAATTGCGATGACAGTGAAATAGAATAAATATTCTTAATCTTCCCGCGGGTATCGTTAGAGCCGACTAAGGAACTACGTTCAACAACGATCGGGTAGCAGCGCTCTCTGATATACCTGATCTTTTTGATTTTTGATATTAAGGAGAGAAATAATAATAATATATATAAGAGATTAATACATGTTATCCTGGTTGTAAGCATTTTTGTAATTAGTTCCTATTAATTGTAACGTTTTAACTTTATTAATTGTATATTTAACTTTGTATGCCGAAAACAGTAGGCGATGTATGTGGGACTATTTTTATAATTATTGTCACCTGTAGCAAATAAGCGTTCTTATTCTTAGTGTATGGAGTTTCTGTCGTCAGTTGAAAAACGCTCAGTTTTATAAACCTAGATTCGAATTAAGTATGCAAATAGAATTGTTCATAGTTACATAGTAGTTATATACATTTGCTACTGACATTCAACTTGATGTTATGTAAATGCAAACCGGTCTAGATGTCTACGTCAATCTCGCGAACTAGATTTGACGTCCAATTTATTTTTGCCACATATTGCGAGACTCTTTTACAATAACTGAATGAGAATTACACGTGTGACATAAAAGATACGGTAGTATTAGTTATTTATCTATAACAAATTGACAGACAAGATATTAGATAGTAGGAGTATTGACAAGTGACGTCACTTTGTTTTCGTTAGATTACGGGGGGCTATCTTTGTAACTAGGTATTTGACCGATCTTTTGATGCTACTTAGGAAGTAGCGATACTTGTCTGCTTATTGTTTGTGTAATTCATTGTTTTAAAGAAACTTATATACTGCCTCGTTGGCCGAATGGTCGCAAGTGCGACTGCCGGGCAAGGGGTCTCGGGTTCGATTCCCGGGTCGGGCAAAGTATTTGTTTGGGCAAAAGGTTTTTTCAACAATTTCAGAAGTAGCACGGAGTCTGGAACTGTACCCGGTATATGGCAATAGGCTCACCCCCTATTACATGGGACTCTTAACATAAATAGTGAAAAGTGGGTGTTACATTGTACAGTGGCATTAAGTGCCGAAATGTGCACCTCTGCCTATCCCTTCGGAGATGAAAGGCGTGAAGTTATGTTATATAGACTGAATAATCCACTTAAGTTAGCTACTAATACCAATATTCTAGCATTTCGCGTTCTAGATTTATATTTGTGCAAATTTAAGATTAATTTATTAAAAAGAAATACTTACCTAGTCAATCCCAAACCCAGTACCAGATCTTAATTTATTTTTGTATTAAATATATTCATATAACATATTTCAAGCAATTTAAATGTCGTTCACAAGCCAAGCATTCACTATCGTCACTGACTCGTATAACAATTATTATGTTAATTTCATTTTAGTTTTTGTATGAGAGCACTACATATGTATATGATTTTATAAAATTCGTGCGAATTTTCAAGCGAAATACTGCCTTCCTATTGTATGCCACTTTTATTCAAATGTTTTTAAACAAAGGATGATTAATTTAATATAATGTCTCACTAGAGGGTTTAGTATAAGAATAGTGCGAGAATTTGTTTCGATTGGTATATAATTATATACTATATAGATTATATAAATTACTATATATGAAATAGGTAAACATATTATTATACGTAAAAGTTTAGGTAAAATAATTACCACTAATTACCATGTATATACAACATGTAACTTAAATAACGCACATCCTGAAAATAGTTTGTTCAAAATCGTTAACTGAATCGATTTATATAATTTTTAGTATAGGTAATTTTTGATCCCAAAAATAATTAAAACTACGGAAATTATTGTCATATTAACCCTGTATTGTTAAAACAAATCGAAATGGACCGTAAGTCAAAGCAATAAGACTTTTAAAATCGCACTTTAATTAAATTAAATTACTAAGTAAACACAATTTAAAATATATAATTTATAAATAAAATAAAACCTCACCTTAGTCACCCAAAAAAGGACACTGCACCCGATTGTACCATTCGAAAAGTAATGAAAGACATGAGATAACTTTCATATAAGAGGGCTGTAGTTACTTATCTAGCTACGATAATACTTAGTACGCTTTATGGCACTATATTCATTGATAACTGATATTGTGTCGTCACTACTATCACTATATATAAAACTCTTAAACTGATCGACAATGCACATCCTAAATTATTGATTATAGGCTTACTTAGCTTAAGTCCAAATCCTCAGACCCTACTCGATTATAAGTCGCGCAACAAGAAAAAAGGGGTGGGATATTAGAACTTCAGTAACTTCATTCACATGGCGAAACGTAACACAAACGTTGTTTTATACCGTATATATATGTTCCTTGCGGAGTGTAGAGGAACGCTAAGATTTTCCCAAATTCCCACTGTATCTATATATATAAAAGAAAGTCGTGTTAGTTACACTACTTATAACTCCAGAACGGCAGAATAGATTTGGCTGAAAATTGGTAGGGAGGTAGCTTAGAGCCAGGAGACCGACATAGGATACTTTTTAACCATCATTTTTTTACTTTTTACCGAAAATCACGAACGGGGACGGGAAAAAATGGGATTACGCGTACGAAGTCGCGGGCAGAAGCTAGTTTAATGATAAAAACGAGCGTACAAAGTCGCTGGCATAAGCTAGTATAATAAATATATAATATAATATATAATAAGACTATATTTACAATATGTATGCGCGCCGCAGCCCTCTCTAATCTACTCCACGTCGAGTGGAAATGATTCGGAAAATCGAGCTCTATACTTTCCCTTTATCTATTTGGGTGATATGAATGTTGATATGAATTTTTAAAAAGTCAAAATGGGCATTGTTTTTATTTTAAGTACGTTTCAACGTTACCCATGTGAGAAAGGCTAATCTGTCCGTCAATTTGTCTGTCCTTAAAACATTGATAAAGAACTATACTGTTATTGAACATTTATTTAGTTTAATTTATTAATGAATATATTTAGGATATATTCGAAACAGAAATGACGAAATGAAAAACAATTCAATAAATTAGTCTATATATATTTGTAGAAAATACCTAATTGATTCCAAAAAATATATTTTACTTACAATGTTCTTACTAATTATTACGTTTTGGGGTACTCACATAATTTTTTGGCGAGGAAGTCGACTAGCCGTGTGTCGTAGAATGCTGCTCTTGAATATAAGCCTCTAGTATGGCTTGAAATTAGTCGAGGTCGGAACACATAATAGTTAAACTAGTATATCTCACGAAAGTTACGATATAAATACATTGTCCTTAACCAAAGGTACATTTAATCCACAATCCAACAGCAAGACAGCCCCAAAACACTTAGACAAAGTCACGATCTTGTCACTATTTTAAATCAAAAGTGTAATAAACGTACAGACCTACAGTCATACAGCATACTATTGAATGTACGGTGTAAGGGTGTACGCACAGCCTTATCACCGGCAATCGGACGAGGAGTGGCAGAAGACGAGATAGGATATCGCCGGAGATAGGACAACGACCATCGAATTAATAAGGCTTTGTTTAATAGTTATTTATTTGTTATTATCGCCAAAGCTTTCGGCTTTCGTGCGTGATGGATTTACCAATTTTGCAATGATTATAATTATATTAGAAATATACGTGAGGAGGTTAATGGTTTTGATTAAGAATCTTATCTGGGACGACATAAAAATATTTGTGTTGTTGTTTTTTTGAATGATAGTATCTGTTAGTATTGTTATAAATAACATAACATAACATCACGCCTTTTATCCTCAAAGGGGTAGGCAGAGGTGCACATTATACCACTGTACAATGTAACACCCACTTTTCACTATTTATGTTATGAGTCCCATGTAATAGGGGGTGAGCCTATTGCCATATACCGGGCACAGTTCCAGACTCCGTGCTACTACTGAGAATTTTTTAAAAACCCAGTAATACTTTGCCCGACCCGGGAATCGAACCCGAGACCCCTTGCTCGGCAGTCGCAATTGCGACCACTCGGCCAACGAGGCAGGGTCTTGTGTCAAAAGGCGAGACCTTATTGTAGAATCTAGTTTAATTCAAATTTTTCTACTGTATCAATCATAAAACTAATAGAAAATATTATAAAACCTAGTAGGAAAATAACCCTTTAAAAGATCCACTACAGTTGATCATCTACAAAAATATATATCGCTGGTTTCAATATGTTTCCAGCATCACGGAGGAGAACTTCTGGCGGAACTATTTCTACCGCATGTCGCTGATCTGCCAGGCTAACGAGGCGGACGCGGCTGCTGGACGCCAGAGCAGCGCCGAGGACTCCCAGGGTATGATGACCAGACATTTTATCACACATACTCTCATTACAATCTTTATCATTTTCCCCATTACTAAGATTATGATCATGACTTCAACTTAAACGTAAAGATTGTAAGATATAGACGGTGTTTATCAAATTATTTCATAGTTTTTAAACCAAGAGAGTGAAGCTATGCCGCAAAGACAAAAGAATCCGTGGTGATTCTGTTCTTGTCTTGTCAAAAAACTTAATATCACATAGACAGTGGATTTTAAACGTCTATTGATCCCAATAATAGTTTTTCATTCATGATTTTGTATTTGGATTGGAACAATAGTAATTTAACAGCAAGTTGATTTACCATTAGACTCAACTACATCATAGAACATTAGATCATTATCCCGACTTAAGTTTTTCATTTCCCTTCATTGATTTCAATTTTGTTTTTATTATTTCCTATTTTTATTTTGTTCCCAAATTAGACGACGATAAATCGGCAAGCGACAATCTGATAGCCAATGAAAAATCGTCACAAGAATCGATTGATGACGTCAAGAAACGAATAAAATCGTTGAAAGTCGATAGAGAAAACGAAGATGGTAAGACATGAATTTTTTAGACCTTTTAAATCGATATTTTGTCCAACACTAATTGATTTATATAACACTAATGTTATTTCAGTTAATTAAAGCTTTTGACAAGGGAGATTTCAAAATTTTAAACGATATTTTAAGTATTATTTTAATCACTATTTTAAAATTTTATTTATTTATCTGTCCGCTATTAGTTTTTTCATTTATTGTTTTAAGTTTTCACACACATAGCCATTATATTTAGTTGTTTTATTTCGTTTCTCATGAATCGTTTCGCTAGTACTAACACGTGACATCGCGATTACATTCCTAAGTGACTCGGTACCAACTTTGAGGAATATGTTGCATTGCATGCTCTGTATATGTAAATATTTGTCTCGCTACACTTTTTAACGAAACACTTCTTACGAATTTACACGAAAAAATTATTAATCGAACACAAGTCGATAGTAACTAGAAGCTAAAATACAGTCGGTATTAATGCCCCATCAGCATCACCCACTAATGTTAATTAATGATATGTTTGTGGCTAAATGCATCTCTTTCTTTCCCTGGAATGCAGCTTAAAGGAGGTGGCGTGCAGCACCACCGTACCGTAACACCACTGTTCTATATATTATTCATTAATTATGGTCTAGCTAGATATTTACTAAGGGAACTAGTGTATTCTCCAACATTCCTTGTTACTACAACTTATATATTGAAAGTTTAATCTTAAATTGCATTGTAATCATCATCGTTATCCCCAGAATGAGCACCAGTATTGATGATAGGTTCGAAGGTATTAGACCGTTTGGCAGGTCTCTGTATAGAGATCGGGTAATGTATAGAACAGTACACGTCTAGTGGATACGATGCTTGCATCAAAGAATGTACTACGCTATTATCTTCATGAGAATTGTTCCGATCTTGATAAAATAATGCCATCACGATAGCTAGTGGGTACGCACATATATTTAGATATTTACTTTGAACACGTAGCACGTACTTGGCTACTGAACATAGTATATATAGCCCGAGCTCTGAAACTCCTGTCCTCTATACCTACTTACGTTACCTCGACTCGCCAACACATGGCATTATTATGTCAAGCCCACGTCACTGTTAATCCTCTCACACATTATAAAATATAATTTCAAACGTTATTACTTATATAGAATTTATCGCTGTTCACATTTTTATTTGAACTCTTAAAGATATATCACTGTGTCATATCTTCATCCTTGTTGTTATCTCGTGTGTCGTATATATATAAAGTGAATGTTATATGACAATATAGCTTTTCTGTCCTTGTAATAAGGACTATAATAACTGTATATATAACCATGTATTTATTTAATATATCTGTTGTGTCTCTGGTAGCACACTGGTCTGTATCTCAATGGCCTGCAGCATCGGACAGTGACACCAACTGTTCAAATCGCTATTGACGTATAGACCACTACGGTTGAATTGTATACTTGTCTATAAATGAATAAAAATCAAAGTTTTCTCAATGGAACCTATTTTAATGTCTACTAAATGTTATATATGTCTAAGTATTGACTAAGGTTATATAGCTGGTAATATCACACAGTTCATTAATTCGGCTCAGTAGCGTTTAATGTAAGTATGTATTGTTCAGGTTTTGACATTGCTACCTGTATATCAACCCTTTTACTTGAGCTTTATGGTCTATTATTGCTTGTTTGTCTTGTGTTTTATTTATCTATTCGCTTACATATTTCTCAAAGTTGGTCGTTACCTCTTGGCGTTTTGATTTCACTGCCTTCTTGTTTCTCCGTAGCAATGTTGAAACTTTAAATCTTTTTGTACATATACTTGTGTTGTCAGCCTTCTGAGATTGCATCGTACTTTAATGATTTTAAACAATTTGGACGTGCAAGTGACAATGGACCTTATATACGAATACATAGAGGTCTTGATTGAGAAGGGTATTATTGGTATGCGTGATCATCTACTGGTTAAGAGTAAAGTTGTGATTAAGGAAGCAGGAACCCTGACAGCCGCGACATATCACTTATGGGTGACAGTCAATTATACTTCCACACAAACTGCCGTCAAACTGACATTTGGAACATTTACTGACAACACAGTCTCTTCCCAGTTTGTTTTGTAATTATTTACAATTAGCATTAGGTATTATATTAATCAGGAGAATAATCCAATGTTATTAAAGTTGTGTAGAACTAGGTGGACTCATTTATGATAGAGTTTGAACGTTGAAACGATTCACTACTGGCCTAGTATGCTGTCGCCCGGGTTTGTTTGTACTTGCGTTGTTGCTGGAGGCTTGATGTTGGCACATTCCTATAATATATGTATTTATTACATCGAGTGAACGGCCTCTATGTCGAATAATATGACTACAAAACCATGTATAATGTTCAAAGTTGGTTTATTTATTACCAAATAAAAGCATTAATGATACTTCCAATGAATTCCAAGTTGTTATATATAAGTTATTTTAATTTCAACGCCAAGCCTCTCGCAAGCCCACTGAAACTGTTGAGCAATAAATTAGAAGTGATTATAATCGTAATTTGGTGTCCATTTAATCATAGTCCTGATAAATACTAAATATTTTGGCTATATGTGTATCTTTGCGACTTAAATACAAATTGGGAGTGGCGTAGCCCTCCCTCCCTCCTCGTAGGACCTCCGAACATGTGTCTCATGTAACTAGCGACAGTATAATATTCTTCGACACTCAAACAAATGTTAGAGAAATTACGACGTATAGTTTAAATGAAAAATTGGCATTTATAGTTAGTTATTATGAATTGAAATAATTATATTATTCTAAAATAATATTGGTGTTGTTATTTTAGATTTTAATTGTAGATAGTGCCTGTTTTTTTTTAATTGAATGACAATGCAAAAAGGACCTGTCTTGTCGACAGAATAGACATTGGTCCCAAAAAAATCTGTTTTTTATTTGTCATAAAGAGTAAGTATTCTATAAAAATGGCGCAAGTGCTAAAAAAATATGTACATAACTAAATACCACCCAAGGTTGGTATTATGCAACAAATGCGCATAAATAAATAAAAGCAGATTTATCTGGATGTTGGGTTGTGGTAACAACACATCAGTATTATCGAAATGAATTGTTATATTGGTCATGACAAGACATGTGTATATCTTAAGATAAAATACTGCTAAGTTAACGTGAGTTATAAAATATATCGAAAAAGGTATCTTAAAGATAACCTTAAAACGTGTTTTGTTATTACACTCATGCATTTGTCAATATTTACTCAAAATGATGGATTACTAAACATTTGAATTACTTGCAAAGAGTGCATTGGATTTAGATTAGATTTGAAAATACTTAGGTTTTTTCAATATCAGGATTGCGTGATTTAATGCAGTCGAATTCTAATTTAGTTTTACAATTTTTGATTAGGAATTTGATGCTCAAGATATAAAGAAATATATAAACAAAAGTAATGTTTTTGAGTAAGTAAAATGAGAATACTTAGGGAACATTATTGAATTAATGAATAACTTTTGCAGGAATTTTAACTTATTAATTTTGATATTTAAATACAATTCTAATTGACCTGTTTTTAGAACAATGGGAGAAAGAGCTTGAAGCCGAGCTGAATGAGTACGAGGTGGTAGCAGACAAAGCCGGGGACGACAAACAATGGGAGAAGGAATGTGAAGACCTACTCGGAGACGACATGGACCTCAAGTAGACCACGGTCTACTGAAAAGACCGGAGTAGACCATGAACTTATCAAGCTGCGCAACTCACGATAGACTGGCCCTCTAAGATAAGATGATTAGTTTTTAATTACATCATATTTTAGTAAGCTTTTTATATGTTGTTACGAATTTTAATTTTAATGATGAATGAAAATTTGGGATGAATTTACTATGCAAATTAATTTCTTTTATCAATAATAGGGGCCGGTCGTATGTAAAGTTGTCAAACAGAGCTCAATTAAATTCTTATGACATTAAATAAGGGTGCATTGACCTCACAACGCGGCGCGTGTGTATATGCTTGTGATTCCACTCTTGCGCACGGTGGGCCATAGAGGCTGTAGGGGTGTCAGAGATTAGATAATACGTGTCTGATTAGATTCAGCTGTTACGTAGATTGTAGTTATATTTACACAATCCTGAACTTAGTGCAGGAGATTATTACAGATATATAAAATGTTTTATCTTGTTTAACTAATAGCTATGTGTAACTACTGTTAGCACTGTGCCAATATCTATTTGCACATGGAGAAATATTAAACATTGATCATCATATTGTTTGGAGCAAATTATTAATTTTATATATACTTCTATTGTGTATACCTAAGTCTAAGTTCTTCCTTACTATATTTTTCTTAACATACCTTATGTAGTCTGTATAAAAGCAAAGTACATAATAGGTCTTTACCTATGAAATAGCGCAAGGTACTGTCTTGCGTATACTGGACTAGGGCCCATATGTGCGATATTGTGTTAATGTACTATTACTGACGATTACCTACTCTGTCTCTTGATCTGTGTTTAAATAGATGTTTTCTTTCTTTCGAAATTACACCGATTTCGCAGTGACCTTGAAAGACGGTTTTCATAGGCCCTAATATACAATAGATTGAAATATAGATAACCGGCAGCTTCTAACCACCAACGATATTTTTATCATATAATCATAGTATCTGTACAAAAATATCATATTTCAAGTAATTAATTTAATATGTGACAGGGGAAATAGCATTGTTAATATGTCATTTGGATGAAATTCCTATGCAGATAGGAGGAGATAACGTTTATTGCAATATTATTATATATGGCTTTATTGTTTAATAAGTCACTGAAATAGAAAAAAAATATGATATATATGTATTATATATGATAGTGAAGGATAGACAATATCTATATATTAGTGATAGTATGTGTGGTATGGTATTTACTTGGGCTGCAGTCCTGATATTAATAGATTTTCAACTTTTGAAATTTGGAGCCAAAAATGTCGCGATTTTTAAGCTTGGTTAAAAGTCGGTGTTACATCTAATATGTACACCTCTGTCTATCCCTTTGGGAAGTAAAGGTCGAGATGTTATTTTGTGAAGTATGGCCCATTGGATGCAAGAGTTCAGGCCTAATGCTTACGTTACAAATTGTATCTAAATATAATTCATATAAGGGCTAGTTTGCATTACCCTGCAATTTATGGGTATGTCAAATAGCTTTTAATTTAATAAAAAGTATTTCATCTTTATAATGCTATTATGCAGTGGGTCTTTGGCATTTCGATACTAAGCTGATGTCAACAATAACAAATATTGGATCGACATCCTAAGTCAGGCAAAGTTAGAATTAGAAATCGTCTATCAAACCACTGAGCGGTCAATAATGTGTTGATTCTAAGTCTTTATATTCATAACATTGTCAATATACAAATGTATAGTGGAAAAATGACTCAAAAATATGCTTTTGCAAAATCATTCGCATTTTCTCAATGTACCGTGAATTGCAGAATAAGTATTTCAGTTTCATAATCATTTCTTAAGAACTTACAATAAAATAATAAAACCTACTGTGTTAGACAAAGTTTTCCTCAATACAAAATTAATCTTAAAGAGAAGTAGTTTGAATAATCTTTGGAATATAAAAACTAATCCGTTTTTATGTGGACGCACCACAATATACGCGATATTGTATTTGTAAACTAGTTGTTTGCCCCGGTATTGCACGGATGCTGTTCGTCGATTGACCAGCGAGTATTCGCGTTTGTCAATGTATACGTGCTTAGTATTTTTCTATATGAAGATGCACAGACCTTGATGGTAAGCAATCGACGCCACCCATGGACACCCGGAACACCAGAGGTGTTACAAGTGCGTTACCCGCCTTTTGGGGATTGGGAATTTGAGGATTGTTGGGCATTCGGATAATGGGAATTACCCCCCGTAATTTGGCCTGCGGCAATCGTACTCACACGAGGAGACAACGCAAGTGTTGTTTCACGTCGGATTTCTGTGAGGCCATGGTGATGATTGGAGGCATCTCCGGTCAAGCCGGCCCATTCGTATTTCAAAAACTACTTTTAAACTGCGCGCTTTCATTGTTAATTTATACATGGAGATTACATTTGTTTTTAAATTTTAAATTCTTACTTAGTAGATAAATATCCCGGTCATATTATCTAAATTATTCTTACTGCCAGATATATATATGTTTATTTAACGACTCTGGAAAAGGTGATTTGTTATTTTATTTTATATTAAAAGTGCATTTACAAGAAACTAGACAAAAAATCCTGTGCATTTTGAATTGTTGCTAATACTATTGCGTTATGCAGTGTTTATGTTCATTACTCTTAACTATAGGAAAATTGTAATACGTACTGCCGATTTTTCTTATGGCTGCTGTGTCACATACGTTTGTTAACACACTGTCAAAACTACACTTTATCCAATCGACATCTGTTTAAATGAAAGGTACAAACCACACTGGCTGCACGGAAGCTAAAGAAACCAAGTTTCTGCCACAGAACCGGTTTAAAAATATTTTTTATAAAAACTAGACCAACTCATTTATTCGCGCCAGTATTTTAATACTTGCTTATTGTTGATAAAAAGGCAAAAAAACACCAGTTTTGAAAGTGCGACAAAAAATACACAACAAAACATTTCGATCGCGGTGAATCGTTGATATGTAGGGTTTTAAAGCAATGCAAAATACCTCTATAAAGAAATCAAAGAGACATGCTTCGGCACGAATGGGCCGTCTAGATCAAAGTAATGTTAAACAACGCTTGCGTTGAGGTAGGTTAGGAGTGAGGTTATCGGATGCCTATCCTTCCAAAAAGACCAGGAATTCACTTCAAAGTCTTTTCAGTCTGGTGTTTAGGTGTTGCTTATTGTCACTTAGTCTATATACACCTTTATATATAAAATTCGAGTCAATATTGCGTATATGTCATATATATATATATATACCTTTCTCGTGCAAACAAATCACCTGCTTTTCTTATAAAAAAGGTAAGGTAGGCCTAATCACATCTTGATTTGATACAAGTAAAATTTCAAAATGATTAGGTAGTAAATTTTTACAACATGTATAAAATAGACATCATAAAGGTAGCAATAAACGATAACAGCGCCATTGTTTCCTCAAACACTCGCACTTATATAAGATTTGCTAATAATTCTGTAACCATTTTTATACGCAATAAATTATAACTAATGCTATAATAAAATGATTACTACAACGACTGCATCACGTGAATCAATAATTGAGGAAAATTCGTCCTTTCAGTGTGCCAGTAGACATTCACGGTCATTGATAAAAATGTGAAAGATTTTGTATTACCTAATCTCTACTTAGAAAACACATTGTGTCTCACGTAGATCCACGATACCACGGGTTTACTTTAATACAATTTTAGATGTATAACAAAAACTGTAAAATAGGACAAATAGTGCACAGTTTATCACATAAAATAACTATATTAAAGCTCTAGATTTCTAAAATAAATATTTATCTGTCTTTATTAAACAGCTTGCCCAAATGTGAGATATTTGTCACTTACTTGACACTTGTATTACCAAAGTAATGAATGACAAACAAATTGACAATGTCATTAAATTGTATGTAGATATAAATGTAAAGTTATGTCGTGTTCGTTATATCTATTGTAAACATTCCTATTTAATTGAAATTAAAATGAGTGTTCATCTCGATATATGGTGTTTTATTTATTTTTAAAGGGATCAAACTTATTATTCATCATGGTCATATTAGCTACATGCTTCTACTGCTGATTATATTTTTATACCGCCCACAATTACTTTCATATCCCGGCCGGATCAGTTTTGTATGTACACACGGCCACACATCAATCTATACAAAACCAGTTTACCCTGGTATCGCGTCGCATCATCTTTCCCCACATTTAACGTTCAGTTTATACTGGTTATGCAAAGCTCGATGTGTAGCCGTGTGTACATATGATCATAACACTAGGTATTGTTTGAAATTAAACTTGCTTATAGTTCCTCCGGTTAAAGCTACATATACGAAAAACATGTGTGTAGTCTCATATGTATTGAAAATTGCACTAATACATATAAACACGTACCTACGTATGTATTAAGATTTGTGCTGCTACTGTATGATACTGTCAAAATAGCTGAAAACGTCGACAACTACGGCTCGACCGGAGTTATCACTCCGCCGTGAAACAAAACAAGCGTTGTGTCAGTGAGGTTACCGAAGGCCCAATTAAACCCCTCCCCAATCCCCGAATCCCCAACAATACTCAAATTCCTAATCTCCAAAAGGCCGGTAACGTACTTATTACACCTCTGGTGTTTCGCTTGTCTATAGGCTTAGGCGAGTGCTTACCATCTGGTGATCTGTCTGCTCGTTTAGCGGCTTATTCCATAAAAAAACTGATTAGATATATAGGAAAAAGAAATGATTAGGTTTTAGGTACTTATTGCAACTTTTTCCTAAAAGGAAAATATGAAACACTAAAATATTTCTAATAATAACAATAGTACGCAAGTGGTACATATCATGTTTCCATAAAACAATATTATTTTATTATTACCTACAATTTATATTGTATACCTACTCAAAGATAATGCTAAATGTAGGATAATACCAGCAATATTTAGCTCTAAAATTAATCTGATAGGAAAAACTCTTAAGCCGGACCCGTGGTAAAAAATAGGTAGTTGTCAAA